ATACATATGTCAAAAAAGGAAAAATTTGAAATATGTGTGAGTAGTTATTTAATTTCCGAGTGAAGGAAAACAGATGGAACGAAAATTAAACTTAATGTCAAAAGCAAAGGTAATCCTAATTATCCATTCTACGTGAATTTGGTGAAATCACCAAATTAATTCTATTGAACGGGAAAAATGTTTGAAATTAAAAGTATCCAAATCAAAAACTATTAGAACTACAGTGTAAATCATACTTGAATATTTTTGCCAAAAATGGCTGAAAGGTGTGATAAAATGAAGGAAATCTTCTTTGTTTAACACTGCAAACAGAAATTGTCAAGGGAAAAGTGTTTTGAAGCATTAACACTTTGACTGCTGTGGGGGTCACCGGTGACCGGCGCTCGGCAACAGCGGGGTACCACTGGTGACTGGTGACGCAACCAATAGTATATACATAATTAGAGTAAATATCGATACAGATAAATTTTTAAATAGTACCATTGTTACTATAATGGTTTTAAGGATAATAAATCATAAAAATTTTAATTATAAATTGTGATTGAAAGCATAGAATATTTATGTAGAAAGGTGATAAATGCACTTAATTACATATTCACATTAAATTTCGTGTTATAGCCATCCAACTATCACCTTCTTAACAGGTTGAGATAATAGTTATCATATCACTGTAAGCAAATAATGTTTAAAATGATGTTAATACCAATGTTTCTTAAAGTATGGGATATATTGAATTTGGGAATGATTTTCTATGAGAAGATCTATAAAGATGACTAATTCTTGACTGTTATCGATCTCATTGCAGACTTTTTTTATTCTAAGAATTTTTGCATGAATAGTCGTAATAACTTTCTTGAAGATGTTGGAGTGCGACTTTATGAGTTTAATTGTATGAAAATTAAAATCTCTTATAAATTTAAATACCTTCTAGTTCAAAATCTGTAAATCTAGGTAGTTAATATTCTGTTGAATGCTAGTTCGTTTTTTTTAAAGTTTGAATCATGTAGACTAAATATTAGCTTCTTCGATCTTATCAAAGTTGTTGAATGCAATTACATCATTGACATATCTGTAGATCTTGTACGTATATTGTTCATGTGTAAGCATGAACCTTATAAGAGATAGACTAACCCATTGGGCGGGGATGCGTCACCGACATGTTGGCAAGAAAGAGTAGGGACGATCTGGTTTGCTTTAACACTGAAACCTATGGCGTTTGTATCACATAACTTTTTTTAATTATTAAATGTGATACGTTGTATAGCGATGAGGTTATGAAAGCCACAGTCTTTTCCAAATAGGATTTAATATATCTCATTAAAGTACTTTTCACGCCTAATTCGTGTACAAACATCTTTACTTTGGTAAAACGGTAAAAACTAGGCACAAAATGTATTAACTTAATTTTGCGTGCAAATAACGTAAAATTAAATAAGATTGATAGTACGTGGTGCTCTGAAATAAATAGGGTAAAATTAAACAAGGTCTGATAACTTTTTAAAAAAATTTAGTGACCATTTTCAGGCAGTGATTTCCAAAACTATAATAACATTACAAAACAATCGTTTATTTGATTATATCGTCATTAAATTATTAACATTAAAGTGGAATATTTATTTTAGTAATTTATAAAATTCGGAGCATAAAATTTTCTGCGTGTAATGAAGGGGGGAAGGTAAAATAAAATCTAGAAGCACTCAGATTTTATATTACGTCCAAAAGGAACCTTTTTTAACGTTTTGAGTGTTTTCTGTATTTATTCAATATCATGTTCTTCGCCCCGCAAACACTACTTTGAAAAACAGCATATCTTTAGAATTTCCTCACTGGTGATAAAACTGCTATTTTCCGTACAGTGCTGTCTCTGAACTCATTGAGTTTGTTAATCAAAAATTCGTTAATGTTTTATCAAATATGAAATAGATTAAAACAAATTCGAAATTCAGCTGTCCAGATGCCCATGTTCGGGTGGAGGATTACATTATTCAAAATTTGATGGCTGTAGATACTGTCATTTTTGTCACAGTGCGAGAAACATACATGTATTCATGCAGATTCTTCATTATTTAATTTCTTTAAATATAATACAGGGCGATAATATTTGGTAACAACAGTTTGCAAGGAGACACAGACATTTATAGTAAAACAGGGCAAAATGCTGCTTCGAAACTAACAGCCTTTTTAGGCTACCGCCCCTTTGAGCTAATGAATTAAATTAACAGAAAAAAAAATCTTATGCAGAACTAAAAATAAATTTAAAATATAATCACTATAAAATACAATTAAAATAAATATTACTGTTAAATGCAATTTTATATTAGAATTAAATGTATAAAAATTATTAAGGAGAAAAAGTGTTTATCACTATGATGTATATGAAATATAATTGAAATAAAATCCTTTAAGAAATTGTGCTGTTATACTCATCTATAATTTTAAAAAAGCAGCACAATTGAATTTAAACAAAACTTTCGAAAATTCGTTTTTAAATATTTTAGTACTTTTACTTATTTACAGCAGTAAAAAGCATAAAAATTGCAAGAGAAATTGCTTGTTTTGAAATTTCTATTAGTTCAGATTTAAAATATTATTTTCTAAAGAAGTAGTTACAAATTTCCTTACAGCATAGGAAAAGCTACAAAAATATCCAGCCCTGAAAGCATGCAATAGCTTTATAATTATTTGGAATGTTAATTATGCTTGATAATATGCTAAATTTTTAAAAATAAATCTCAATTTCAAAAATAAAAATATGTAAAAATTCCAATTTGTGTAAAGAGGCACTACTACCAGCTTTTTCTTGACAATTATACATGCTGCAATAGGCAACAAATGTTAAATTTCTGCAAGTCGTCCGTAATCTCCGGATGTGATCAAGGGGACAGCGGCAACACCTCAGACAAGGGAGAAAACCCGTTTGGGTTAGTCTATTTCTTATAAGGTCCATGTGTGTAAGTTGTTTTCGAAACTGAAATTCTTTTATAAAAAAAGGTATATATTGCAAATTTCAGAAGATGTGCTTGAACCTATTGGTATTGCATTGATTTGTTTAAAAAGTGTGTTACTAAATTTGATGTAATTATGAAAAAAAAAAAAAAAAACACTAAACAAAAAGTAAAGCTGCCAATTTTCTTAAGGGACTATTGTAAGAAAGTACAAAAACATATCTGGTAGAGTTTAGAGACTATCACAAATTTCTTTTAATGGCAAAGTAGTATAAAGATTTTCAAAGTCATAGTAGTTAATATTTTTTATGTTCAAAGAATGGAGAGCTGTTATAATCAGTTCATTGTTATTGATAATACGAGGGGTGATTCAAAAAATGTTTACAATGCAAATGAAAAAGTATTTATTAACAATAGAAACAAGATACAAATGGAATCAAAGACACATCTGCCTCACTTTCCACGGTCGCAAACCTTTAAGCATTGTCAGCACATTCGACCAACTGTTATCCCTGGTAGTATCAGGCCCTTTCATTGAGCATTTTAGCAGCTTTTTCACTGCATTGCTGAGGTGACCGGTTCCGATAGTATCGCTTCAAACCCGGAAAATAGTCACTTGAGCCAATCGGGCTGTATGGGTATTCCAGACCTCCCACTGAACTTGCAGCAATTCTAGTAGTCTGGCGAGCTGTATGGGGCCTGCATTGCATGCAGAAGATGACGCCTTTGCTCAGTAACCATGCCGTTTGCGTAGATGGCTTTACGAGTTTCGTTGAGATGGCACAATAACGATAGGCCTTATGTATGGCCACGCTCAAATACCGATTGGATACACCAGTCTATCCCAAAACCCTTTGCCACACTTTACCGGCGAGGTTGACCTAAACTTCTTCCTCTTGGTGACCACGTGTGTCCACTCCTCGTGCTTTTTTGGATGTAGGGTGAAGTGATGAGCCATGTTTCATCCGGTAACGATGCCATCATGAATTTGTTGGTCGCTGAATGATTGCTGAAGAAATGTGAGCTGCACATCATTCGAGTGCTTATGCTCCGCGGCAACACGTGGAACCCAGTGGGCACAAACTTGAATATCTCCACTCATCGTACGATATGCTAACTCATCGAGTGGCCTTATGCTCTGCGGACAACGCACGTGGAACCAAGCGGGCACAAACTTTGGAATATCGCAACTCATCGGTTACGATACCATAATCAGGTCCAACTCTGAGGCAATCTCGCGCACGGTTACTCGTCAATCCCTTTGAATGATTTCTTCAATACGTGCCGTGTTGATATCCATCCTTGAAGAACTTGGATGGACGCTCGCTTCCATATTGCGGTTTTCCACATGCTCCCTTTCCTTTTGATAAGAATGACACCATTTCGCTACCTGTTGTCTACTCATTGTTTTGTCACCGTATACCTCAATGATTTGTCTGTAAATTTCGGATGCGGCCACATTCTTGGCCCATAAGAATTGAATTACGACTCGCATCTCTATGCGAGACCACTTTTCTAGACGTTGTACCATTACTGTCGCTTTTAAGTATCTGCGTACTGACGCTACTTACTCGTAGAACCGCTATAGGACAACTAGTGCCATCTGTCAACCACCCTGGGTGGAAATATTCGTTCCACAAACTCGTAGAACCGCTATAGGACAATTAGTGCCATCTGTCAACCACCCTGGGTGGAAATATTCGTTCCACAATTATTATGTTTCAAATGCTTCTGCTTGTAAACTTTTTTTTTTGGATCAACCTTCGTAGAATTGAAATTGTGGTCTTGATATGTTGTACTATTAATAATGCTGAGAACTTGTTTAAGCTTTTTAGCAAAAAGATTAATTGGTTTCCTTCAAAAAATTGCTAGTACCATTGGCAATGAATCTAAATTAACAGGTGTCTCGTGAAATAATTTGTCTAGCATGTATGTCAGCTGCTACTCTTTTTTAAGGTTTAGTTTTGTCCTGGTTATGCAATAAGTCTTGTATGTATTTTTTAATGTTTAAATTTGTAATAAGACACTATTTTATTGCAAAATATTTTTTTAAAGACATAGGAACCTGGACAAATATGGTTGAGCTCAACCTTGGTACTAACCAGCTAACAAAAATTCCTGATGACATACAATTTCTACAATCCCTTGAAGTTCTCATTCTCAGCAATAACTTGCTGAAAAAGCTTCCTCAAACCATTGGCAATCTTCGGAAACTGAGAGTTTTGGACTTGGAAGAAAATAAGCTGGACTCGTTGCCAAATGATATAGGTAAGAATTCCGTAAATGTATTATCTCAATGCTTATATTTATCAGAATAAGTTCTGCAGTGTCAGTCATTTAAATACTGTTGCATTCAATGTTTTAGTTGGCCCTTGAATTATGTAGATGTTTGGGGCTTTAGAATCCAGGGCAGTCCCAAATCTGCAAACAAGTCTGTTGTTCAGATATATTACCAGCAACATGAATAGTGCATTGCTACATAAATTATATCCAGTATTCTTAATGTAAAGTAAACTACGGGAAAATATGTTTAAAAAAAAAAAAAAGAATGTGTGGAACAGAGTAAACCTGTTCTGTCTTATGTGTATCAATATTTTAAGTTCACTGTCATGCTAGCTATTGAAAGTGGCTGCAAAATTCATACATTAGGGCATTGTGTACTGCAGTTTATTTCATGCAGTTATGATTTATTTTCCCATTTGTTTACATATCTTTCCAACAGTTAACTATGTACGAAATCTGCAGGTATTTATTAATTTCTGCAAATTTTGAGTTGTAAAAAACTTTTGATATTTTATGGTACTAAATTATGAAATAGACATATATCTGCACTCTTTGTATATGCTTAGCACATCTAATATTTCATTTGTTTGGACATTTAGCTGTATGATTCTTTTTTCTTTCCTTTAACTGCTGTTAATACTTCTAAGAATTCTGTTAATTATTCAAAAAGGTCCATTGTAAGAGCTCATGCAGTTCAAATTAATGTATTAGAGTCAACTGTATTTCATGTAAATAATAAAATATTTCATGTAAATTAATAGTTCTTTCATATGATCAACTTATAATTTCATATTCTCTTTTGTAGGTTATTTAAGTGATCTCCAAAAATTGATTCTGCAGTCCAACATGCTAACAACTCTACCAAGAGCAATAGGGAGATTATCAAATCTCACGTTGCTTAATGTTGGAGAAAATAACCTTACATCTCTTCCTGAAGAAATTGGTATGCTTTCTTTTTTTTTTTTTTTTTTT